AGGATATTTGCATTTATATTAAATGCATTTTGTTTTGTTATTGAAATACATATTTCCATTCATAATATGAGCAGAAATTATATGGGCTTTTATATTACAATACACCACACAATACAATATACATAAAATGTAGAATGTAATAAAGTTTTATTGAAAATATGTCTCAATTTAATAAATATATTGTGATCTAACAGTAAACAGGGCTACACTTCCAAAGCAATCAGTTTATTGAAAAAAGCCATTGAATTGGACGAAGAGTTTGCTGAACCGTATTCAGCGTTGGCTTCACTTTACGCCCAAAATGGTCGCAACGAAGACGCGGAGAGACTTCACTTACAGGCCCTTCAGTTGGACTCTGAAAACGCGGACTTTTGTAATAATTTCGGTGCCTTTTTGCAGAGGACTGGTAAGCAGTTTATCATTATATTTGTCACTCATATTGTGCTTACATTACATAACAAGGAGACGGCAAATATCTTTTCAAACAACGGGAAAGCATTCATATATTTTATGTTAAATTATTATTAGTTATAATGAATGCCAATTGTATTGCATTCTCTATTCTGGAGAATGCGGTCATAAATGGATTTCAAAAAGCATTTATTGTTTGATATAACTTATGAAATGACAGTTATATTTAAGATAAATAATATCTAATGACAGCTCTCGTTATTAAGACTCGTTATTGTGTTTTACGTTTCATTATATCTTATATAATATATTTCCACATTTTTCGATGAATGGCTTGTATTTACAGAAAAATATATTACCAATAGATATAATGAGAAAAATAAGAGAGCAATGAATAGAAAGCGATAACCGATTTGATGAGAAAAAGATGAACTGAAAATGCATTTTATTGTTAATTGAATGGACAGGTCGTAGCGATGAGGCTGTGAAGCAATATCTGAAAGCGATTGAAATACAGCCCAACCATACGGTGGCTCTGGTGAACGCCGCCCGGACTCTCAAATCCATGAAACACACGAAGAAAGCGGAGACACTTTACAAGAGGTATGGCTTTTCAAAAGTATGGATAGCATTGAAAAGACACTGCAATTTGATGAACAGCAGTGACGGACGACCGCAACAATAGAGCGGTTGAGAGAAAAGCACACAAAAAACGGTTGTGGAGTCGATATCGCAATGCGATTGTGATAAACGATTTTCAATATAATAGGCATCTTCTCAGACATCATATTGTGATTAATGGCACAGACTTTGGGCTTTATTTGAGGAGCCGTTCCGCTGGCCATAGACTTACACAACACAGTGTTTGTGTGCAATAGAGTGAGAGGGGATAGAGTGAGGGATGGGATGCGGGAGAGAGTGAAACATATTTTTAGAGACTATCAACACAATAATGGCATCAAAATAGTGTAGAGAACAAGACATATATTTTAGGTGCCGATCGTTTGATGTCTGGCCGCACAGGCATTACCAGGAAATCCTCTCTACATATTTATTTCCGTTCTTTACTTTCCAATAACTCTAAAGACTAACCAACAAAATAGACAACACATTATACAGTATACACAATACATATCGTATATTAAAATGCATTACTCATGGCATAGGATTCTGCGGACATTATATTCTGGAAGACAAACAGTAAATATTTTTTAGCAAATATTTTTTTCATTCATTGCTTTAAAGAGAGAAATCATTTTTAACTCAAATGAACAGATATTTCATGGGATTGACAACAGAATCCATTGAATAGGTCTCTAAATTCAATTCAATTATTTGAACTCATCTTATCTTCTGCTAGAGATCTGACAAAGAAATTCAGTTTCAGTTCATATGAAGCGAAAGTTTTTGTCACTATTTTTTGCTCAATGTTTGACAGATAATGGAAAAGTGATTCGTATTTTTCATAATTCCTATGTATTGAAAAATTACACCCAAATCTTTTAATACACTATTCTTTGAAACTATAGTAATGCTAAAAATATTAACCCAAAAATAAATCTAATAATAACTAAATTAAAGTCAGAATTAAATATATTTTTCAATTAAATGAGTTTTGATTCAATGAATCGACAGTAACTTAATTATTATATTTAGCTGTAATTTTTGAGGTTTTCTTTTGTTTGTTTAGAAAGATTTAGATTTATTTTTAAGAGCCATTCCTTGTGAACAATATTTATTTATATTGTTTGCGAAATCCAAGTATTTATTGTATAAAACAGTGAGTGAAGTGTTTGTGAGGACAGGTATATCAATGGTGTCGTGTGTTATGTGAAGTCACTCTTATTGAACACTTTTGTCGATTTATTCAGTAATCCGTCGGGAATTACATAATGTATTGAAAGCACAGAAGAACTCAATACAGAATATGATGTTATTCTATAAATCTATATATTTATCGCATATCTATTGACAAAACAACGGTTACCTAAAGAGCAATAAAGTTCTTCTCCTAATTCTATTCCTCAAAGGACTCGCCTTTTCTCTCGTCGTCTCAAGACTTGGGTTTACAAACAATTCTCCTATGATTTTAACAATGTTTTTGTATTTTTATTATTTAATGGATAGAAAAACAGTGAAATGTCTTTAATCTATCAAACATTCAATCAATGAATGATTAAAAATCAATTCATTTTCTCAATGGTTGCATCTTTTTTATAGTCATCTCAAACTAATGTGGGTTTTTATAAAAATATTTTCATTCATTTCTAGTGTTATTTCAGTTTACATACTAACTCGTAAACAAAATTTAGATTTTACAATTTATAATATACTGTATTTGTATCAAATTGTTATGATTTCATCTGACATTTGTTTATTGCTTTTAAATATAGGTTTAGATTTTATAAATGACTATTGATTTGATAGTATTGTTCGTTATATAAGACCAATTTGAATGTTGGCTGCATTTATATCATTCAATTTGGTTAGACTTGTATTATTCAAGTCATATAATGCTGGCGGGGATTAAGTGTATCAGCTTTTATGCAATTTAGGTCTTTCTATGAATGCTGTGCTTTTCTATGCAGTCTATGCCCTCATATCTGTACGTCAGCTGTTATTCAATATATTCAATACAATATGATTTGCAATTCAAGTCAAATGGCTTTACATCACAACTCATCTCATATCCTAGAAAAAGCATCTCTCTCTCTCTCTCTCTCTCTCTCTCTCTCTCTNAACTCATCTCATATCCTAGAAAAAGCATCTCTCTCTCTCTCTCTCTCTCTCGCTCTCGCTCTACTGTTAAATAACATTTTATTCTTAAGCTTTTTATTTTCTAATATTAAATTACAGCCAAACATGTGAGAGATTCTTAATTTTAACCGCAGAATAAATATTCAGAATAAGACATATATTTTGAATATTCAATATTTAAATATATTTTTTATGGAAATTTTATTATTTTTGCAATTATTGCTAATCTTTTTTCCAGTGTAATGGCATAAATTAAAATTAGGTTTTTTCAAAAACTTAATTACAAAATGTGTGCAATTTTATACATCAATTTGAATAGTCTTAACATCTAAAATATTATAATTTAATGTCAATGTATTATAAGAGAAAGTATTTTAAATTTATGTCTTAATTTATAACATCTTTTCAGAGCTCTGGCCGTTCAGTTTGATCCACAAATTTTGGACAATTTAGGAGTTCTTTATATAAGTTCTTCAAAACTAAAAGAAGCGCAAGAAATATATGAAACAATTGACAGAAAGTATCCGGAATATCGTGAAGGAAAAGTACATTACGTAAGTCTTACTGAATTATTTTTATGCTTAAATCTAAAACATTAAAACACTATTTAAAAAATCTTTGAGAATTGTCTGAAACCTATAAATTTTAATCATTTTCAATTGTATTACAATTCATAATTTGTGTGATATTAATACACAAAACGTTATAAATATTGCGAATATTTTGTATTTCCCGTTTAACTAATTTAAGTTTGATTTAATTTCTGTCGGATTTTGTTTGAATGCTATTAACAACTGAATCGATATTTTTTGCATATCTTTTCCTCGAATGCAAACAATTTTGAAATTCAATTTTCGTTTCACAATGTCTTCAATAGATATATAGTTCACCGAAAAAAATACTTAGAACTGAGACTTAATCTCGAGATTATTTATTATTCCGATTATTTTTTTCGGAAGACTTTCAAAGGAATTAAATTAAAAACATTTGAATTAAATTTTATGTTACAAAAGAAAGTCCAATACATGTAATGTGAAAGCGATGTCTCGATTAAATACAATTCATATGATTATTCATTGGCTCTCGAAAAAAGTCTTTTGTGATAATTTTGAGCGCAAAAAAATTGTCATCCCTTTAGTCGACGCTTTCGATTTGGTTTTGAGAAATAATGTCTTTAGGCTTATGTCAGGAAATTTTCATTTCTTTCAATTCTTTTCACTCATTATTGAGTATAAAAATAAAAACTAAAATTTTAGTCTCAAAAGTTTCTTTTCTAACGTCTCTTTTCATCCAAATACTGATCTCATTATAACTATCCTTTGGGGCAAAACTATTTAATATAGAAATATATATATTTCAACCAAAAATTCATATATAATTCATAATTTGTTTTCAATTCATTAAATATGGGAAATGGTTTTTATTCACTAATATATAATTATTATTTTAATAATATAAATGTTAAACAAATATGAATACAATTTACATTTAAATAAACCGATGGCTTTTAATACCATTGCATTTCTTAATCCAATATTGTTTTAAACATTTTCTAAATTATATTACATTTTAAAGTAAATCTTTTGAACCGTTAGTAAATGAAATAAATTTCAAACACAATCAAAACGAAAGTATTTTAAGGAGAAAATAAAAACGAAAACTTTGCAAAACAAGAAAAGTTTTGTCCAACAAATTGTTTCAATAAATAATAATACAAATTACAGCACAAATGCATTTCTCGTTTGGTTTATTTGAAGAAATTTACTTTTAAATAAATGGGATTTTTTGTTTGATTTTGAATTGAGTCATTTTATGTATATTGTATTGTGTGGTGTATTGTAATATAAAAGCCCATATAATTTCTGCTCATATTATGAATGGAAATATGTATTTCAATAACAAAACAAAATGCATTTAATATAAATGCAAATATCCTTAACCTTCAAAACAAAATTGTTTCAAATTATAATGGATTATGCGGTCAATTGAAGTCATATTTTGGTTAATATTGTGTCTCTCCTCTAAATTATTAGCAAATATCCGAAGACTCGCCTATTGTTAGAGTCAATAGAAAAATATTAATATCAAATTTCACATCAATTGATGACCACTTTATTTATAAAGGGCCTCTTATGTTAAGAAAGTTTTTATAATTAAACTCTATGAAAAACCTATTTATTAACCGTGGTTTTTATTGACTACCTAATATACTTCACTTTGTTTTTAAATATATTACTAACTAGCGAGCTTTGAAACAATTATTATAAAGAGAAGTTCATGCCATCAAATAATCCATAAGTCTTCAACATTTTTAAAAAATAATAATAATAATATTTCGCTACGACTTCACAATTGTATTGTATTACTGAACAGTACTTTACATTATACTAATGTATTATTTGTGTCATCTATTAAAACATGTTTTCTGTATATAAAATATAAATCAAAAAATCAATTTTTATTTTAAGAAAAAGTAACACAAAAGTAACAATCCATCCATTATTACAATTGTTGAGATGTCTGTCAAGTAATTATCACTTGTTTTCAGATTTCATTCATTGTATGTTAAAAGTGATTATTGTTGAGAAAACATCACAAAATATAAGCTCTTAAAGTAATAACGAAATTATATAATTTTTGATAAATTGTTGATCAATGAGATTAATATTTATAATAAATTCTTTAAAAAATGATTAATTTTTATTAATTAAATAACTGTTTTTAAGATAATGCATGAATTCATGACATAAGTCTACAATTAATCAAATGGTTATCTGTAAACGAAAACACAAAATCAATTGATAGAAAATTGATAGTAAAATGAATACATCTTTCAATTAAAGATAATGTGATTTCGTTGATTAGATTTTGTTATTTTATACAAACAATTGCATTAAATATATATTTAATGGATTCTTTGATTCCTT